TGGCAGATGATGATTAAGTTCCATCCACCGGATGTTTTCGAACGATTGCACTCACACATTAGCATCCACAAAGTAAATAGAACGTGCGGCTATTAAGAGGTCGTTAGACATTTAATTTGTCTTTTCCTGGCAGGAATTGAATAAACCGTTAGTGCTGGTGATTCCTTTTCTCGTTCTTAGCATTTTTCTGTGGATTTTTACAAATGTTGTACAGTATAGCCCTTTCACAGAGAAAATCTGGCCTGCTGTAACCATATGTTAACAAACTATGGATTCTTTTTAATTTCACATGAAAAACAACAATTTGTTCGACTCATGATGCAATCATATTTGAATGAAATATGATATAATCATATAAACCCAGCCTCGCTTGGCACCCATTGGCAGAGGCCCGCGGAATCGCAACCCACTCTTTTCATCTTTTCTGTGTAATCAACCAACCCCGTGACCATGATTATTTTACACCTTTATGACCAAAATATCGAAAGCGTGGAAATTTTCTCTTCAAACAAACAAGTCCTCCGATCGATCTGTTTTTAATTTTCAAACATTTGTTCATGAAAGATATGACTATGTATGGAAGCCAGCAGTCGGGAAATCTAATGAATCTATGTTGCTAAGACAGTTCAAACAAAACATTAAGTCCATTGATTTACAATCAATTTGTCAGTGAAGTCATTTTCTAATTTCAAAGATGTTGTTTATCGCCGGCGGATTAAGTGATTACCATAAGATCACGTGCCTGTTGTCATGGCTTCAAATTTCAAAACTTTATATTCTCTCTAACATCTGATAAACATTCGCTATATTTAGCTACCATAATTATTCCACTTGTTGTAAACTTTTGAAATTTTTACTTTTTAAGTCCCTGTATGTTACCTTTGTGAAAGAAAATTTGATTTTTGTAGGCTTGAGTTTAATAGGCTTACCGTGAAAATAATAGCCACACTGTGGGACGGGAACATCATTAAAATTCTCAACAAAAGATAAAATACACGACGTCATGGCACAATGAAATGCACCAGTAGAGATCTGTAAACTGTAATTCATGTTTGCCTAATACCCAGCGAGAATGAAATGCTTTTTGGTGTTCAAGCTGTAATTTCAAAGAAATGTACTGTTTTCAATGGCATAAATCTATTTTACCTCAACAGTCGTATGTGTATTGGAGGTCCAAAATCAGGACTGTCTAGGAAAGCACCTCTCCGTTGCTGTCGTTTAAGTAGTATACGCCAAACTGTAATAAAACATGCCAAATCACCATGATCGTTATTAATTTCATCTTATTTTAGAATTGATTTTGAACGTCAGAAAACTATCTCTGTATAACAAGAATTAAACCCGACACATAAAAATACAAGGACTGTAAGAAAGACAGAAAACTAGGAAACTTCATGTTCACCTTGGCATTTAACTGTAAAAAAGAAAAAACAGTATGGCGCTAAGCACGCACTGCGGTATTCTGTAAGTTTCTGACAAACCTGGTGGTTTTCAGTGAGTACACTACAGCTTGGTACAATTTAAATTTGACGCACATTTAGAAATTGGATGACGCATCAAGAATAAAGGCCTCAATGGTTGGAAATAGCCATGTTTAACTGGGCAAACGAACCATCCTCATAGTTATGGTGTTGTTATGGTGGAGACACGAATTTATCGATGTCTTTACCTCACGAATGCATAATTCTATTTCAGATCTTCGATTTTATGACAAAGCAATAAGTTTTGAACAAGTTCATAATCTCTTACCCTTTTAAGTTGATAGATGAAGGACCAGTTGATTAGGAGTAGTCCAGAACAAGTTTGAGTTGCGCAAATTTAATAGACATCCATCGCGTTGAAATTTAGTGTGCTTGTGCGAATTTGTAATTAACACTGTTCGTTGTTGTATTTACCAACAACTGCTGTGCTTTTGTTCTCACACCTGTCGAGAGGAATGTTTACAGTTCTTATGAGCCAAAAGCTACCATGAAATGAATGGTACAATAACTTAGAGTGCCTACAAACGGACGAAGAGCTCGGTTTTAAAAACAGGTCCAAGACTATGGCGTAGCATTTCCACTTTTAGTAGGTTTCATTTACGGTGTAAACAATACCGTCTGTCCTGTCGCACCCTTTTTAAAAAATTAAAAATGGACGGGTTGTCGAATTATTCAAGAAAAAATTAAAGTCAGTCGAATCTCTAATTGATCAGAAAAACGATCTGTTTTCATTTTGTCACAAGTTCGTTTGTTCATGTCATTTTAGCGAACAGGTACTGATTTTTTTTTTCAATTCTTTACGGTTATTTTTTTCACTCGCAGCGTTAAAAAGAGACCTGCTATCAAACCCACGTAAGTATCTGCCATTTGCCAAAACTGCTCCTCCAATGATAGTAAGAGGCTTGATATCACCTCTTTTAAATTGAGTAAATAAAATACTGTTTGAATCCTATTAAAAATGATCTAGCTACAGCCTTCAATTAATGCTCAAAATCAAAATAAATTTTAAAAAAATCATATGACTATCCCTCACACATTATGGATAGATGAATAAAATATTTTGGCGGCTTCACCGCTCAGGAAAATTGTGCTGAGCAAAATAGCCTGCGTTTAATCGTAAACACTTCCTTTAGGCCGAGATAATTTGGCTTGAAGTTTTAATTAAAAAAGACTGCATCGGAAATTACTCAGATTTTCCTGCTCATAGCATTTGTTTTTGACAAAAAATTTAAATGAAAATGGGCTAATTTTAGTGTGGCCTTCACGTATGTTATACACCACATACCAAAAACAGAAATTAATTTCTTAGTTACTTACGACAAACAAACAACAAACGAGCTCTCTAGTCGTTTTGTGAACCTTTAATTTCACGTAACGAAGAGGGACTGATACACGTCAAAATCAGTTGGATTAAAATAAAAATGAGCTAATTAATGCAACAAGTAATACACTACGAAGAACTCGGTTGAAATTTAAACTTTTAAAAACAGGTCCAAGGCTATGGCGTAGCATTTCCACTTTTAGTAGGTTTCATTTACAGTGTAAACAATACAGTCTGTCTTGTCGCACCCTTTTTAAATGCAACAAGTAATACAAAATGACCATTCAGTGAACTACACAATCAATAACATTTTTTGGGGCTTGGAAATAGTTCGAATAATATTGATTAAATGCCGCCGGGGCTGAACTTGCTGTGTACAGGCAACAACATTTATCAGAGAGAAAAGAAAGGTTTTTTGATTGTTCCCGACTAAACCCAGTGTGTTTGAATGATACACTATCAAGCTATAGGGGCTTTTTTTCTCGGAGTGTTATGATTGTTAGTCAAGGATAAACATAATAAATCAGAACTTGAATGATTGTTTTTTTGAGGAGACTCCAACACAATGAAATTACGCCTGGCAAGGATGTAACGACTTCAGTAATTCAAGTCAGGGCCGTTGTGTTTTAACCATGGCACGTAGCTTGGGCATGCGTCTATGTGTGTTTTCAATTGGTGAAGAAGAGAAGGCGAAGGTGATTGGCAATTTCAAAAGGATTCCTTACGTTCAGTGACCAGAGCTATCAAATTTCATCCACTGCCTTAACTTTGTGTCCAAAGCTTTGCAGTCTATCGAATGATCACAGTGTCTGACACGCTTACATGCTGCCAGCTTCAGGTTCCTTTCGTTTTTCGCAATTAAGCCAGTCGGCGAGGGGTCCAAGAGCAGACTTATTGAAGCTGGTTTGTCAACAGAGGGAAAATTCAAGCCATCTCACCCGCTGACCCTGTAAATAAGGAATCAATTATTGATCAAATCAGTAAATGTTGTGGCAACTACATGGTCGTTCGTGAATTAAAGGAAATTTTACCAATCGATTTTAACACTATACCCTATGGGCCTCATAATAGCTACGATATGCGCAAATAGCGTTTCCTACATTGTATGCAAGCAGTTCCCCCTGCAGGAGTAGGACAGGCCCGAGACTGAGGAGATTTCAAGCAGCTTCCGACAACAACGACGACGACTACTCGAACATGTGAATGTCCGCAAACATGCGCAACATGTGCAATGGTCGTTACGAGCATGCACCGTGACTCTGAAAAAGGCTAAAACCCAAAACTCATCGTCCAGTGTCAACCAGGCCTAGGAGTTGAAATTTCTTCTTAATAGCTTTAAACATCCGTCGTATTTTCCCTGGCTTTCGAGAGAAGCCTAAAATATCATTTGTCTCTGCTAACTCTGTTATTTTATCTCAGTCAAGTTTATATATTACGTGACTCGACCAAATTTAGTGTGTTGTACTTAGGTATCCGAAATACAAACCTTATTCTCAACCTCGATCTTGAGCTTAGCTCACCAAGCTGCTCTACTTTCTTAACTCTCATAAGGTCACCACAACTCCATATAATCTGCGTCTTAAGCAATCGAGACATCCAGCGATCTTTTATTGAAAGGTTAGTACAAAATTTAATTGTCTCAATACCTTTCTCCTTAATATCTTTTATAAGAGAATCTCCGGTTTGAATATTTTAATTGTACCCCAACGTTACTGTGGTCTTACCCTCAAAATCAGTTGTTTCCGCGTTCCGGACCCATGTGGCGCTTTGTAAAATTCTAATCTAAAGTGTCTAAAATTAAAGTGAATAGCGGTATGAATAATAATCCCCAGGAAACGGAAAACGTAGGAGGAAATTTCCACGTGGTCGACACGTTGAAGCTATCAAACTCAACTTCAATAAAAATTCAATCTGTTGACATGTAAATTGAAGTCACAAATCTATTCAATTATTACGACTCACGGACACTTTTTGCCGGCCTAGTTAGTAGGGTAACCGATAGCGAAATCGGAAGAACTGCGGTTTGAATCCTGCTCACGTGGGACTTAGCTTTGTTCCTTCGTCCTGCGTCAGTAATTTTATTGTATTCAATACAACTATCAAACTTTGAACCATGTTGGTGACATGCCATCGTATAGAATTGCCCAGCGTATATAAAGAGTACTTTAAATAGTTTTCAGATTTAAACCACTGTAAAGCATACGTCAGGTCTTCTACTGAACTTTTCGAAGAAGAAAGAACCATGAAGAGGTCTCTAGTCTGTTTAATGGCTGTTTTCTGCCTTTGCTTTCAACTTACGCTCTGTCAGTTAAGCGTTTCCCTACCGCATGGACGAAGTTTTAATCCTGGATCTTTTGTCCACAAGGTAAGTTTAAACACCTCTAAGTACTAACATACTTTGGCGCTAATTAGATTTCCTCTTGTTAAATTAATTCCTTCCGTGCCCATGAAGTGGTAAACTTTTTGCAAATCGGAAGCTTGTAAGACTGGCAACTCGAAACAATATATTATATGCAACGAATCGCTTTACTTTCACCCAAATTCCAAGGCTTAAAAAATGAATTCTGCTTTCGAGAACTTTTGGTTCAGTCTTGATACTTTTTTCCCGTCTTTTTTTCATCCCTCCAAAACCTGACCCTAATATTTCATTTCCCAATTATTTTGTTCTCTTTTTTTGGGTGGAGAATTAAATAGTCTGCTTATTTCACCACATTTTCCTGAAAGATCGTACATTCCACGTAAGGATTTTTTTTACTAACAAACACCTTCGTTTCATCTTTTAGAAAACTGTAGGAAATGACGAAAAGAGAGGCGCAGACTACATGAACAAATATGAGAGGACCCCGGGAGAATATGAGGCAAGACCAGTCCACCGCTTGGGAAAAGCTCTGCACAGTTATTTCAACAGTGTTTCCAGTGGACGAAACTTCGCAAGAGACGCTGATAATGATAACTAGATTCCTCAAGTTAGGAAGATTGTAATCCACATGTAACCTTATAGTTAATTATAGTTACTACAGTGAAAACTGATTGAAATGAGAAATAAATATTTTAAATTGAAGTGAAATCACGATGAGTTGTATTTACAGCGGGGTCAGTTCAGTTAAACACTGATAAGCAGAAAATGTTTGATCAGCCTGTCGTCCGGACTTCCATTAAATCTACTATCAATCTTTGAAACTCTACAATTGTTTTAAAATTTTATAACTGCATGATGGTTGCGTATCGGGTGGGGGGGGGGGG